TGTAAGCTCCGCCTCCCGGGTCACGCCATTCTCCTGCCTCAGCCTCCCAAGTAGCTGGGACTACAGGCGTCCGCCACCACGCCCGGCTAATTTTTGTATTTTTAGTAGAGACAGGGTTTTACCATACCATGTTGACCAGGGTGGTCTCAATCTCCTGACCTCATGATCCGCCCACCTCAGCCTCCCAAAGTGCTGGGATGACAGGCGTGAGCCACCGCACCCGACCCAAGTCTATTGACTCTGTGAATGTCCCACCCTAGGCTGCATGAGGCTGCACGAGGCTGCACAAGGGAGAGAGGCAGGACACCGTGCTGGAGAGGCGTGTGCGCGTGTGTGTGCAAAAGCCTCTCCCTAACGTGGTTCCCGTCTGCATCTTTTCCTCCTTCTGCCTCTTTGGCTACACGGCTGCCCCGCGGAGCTGTGCTCTCTCTCTCCGAGTGAGACTGTACATGTGCAGCCTTTGGGGTCTTGCTTAAAGACCACCTTCCCCTGCCCATCCAGTCCGTGCTACTGTTTCCTCTGTGGGTTTGTCCCCACCCTGGCCTCTCGTCACTGGGCAAGTCTTACGTGGCAATTATCCCTCCAGTCTCTCTGGCTGGAGTGGCGCGTGGCCACCTGGATGCTGCTACTGAGAGGGCATTCTTGTCTTGCCAGTGACTGTGCCCAAAGCAGGGCCGGGGGTGGGGAGAGAAGACACGAAGCCTGGTGCCTCCTCCCAGCCTCCTACCTGTGTAGGCCTCCAGCACTTGTGTTGCCTTCTTCCTCAGAGTTGGTCTCCTGGGAAATGGTGCTTACAGAGATGGAAGAGTTTAATACATCTCTTGCTTCCTCTCTCTTTTCCGAGGCCCTCAGTGGGAGCTGCAGAAGCAGTGGCTGGCGGGGCCTCCGAGGCGTCTGGGTGAGGGAGGAAGGGGGTGGCGCGGAGCCTCAGCCAATTTGGAAAGCACTGTGACCCAAGCACATCTTGCAGCAGCAATGTCAAATTCTGCCGTTCAGGCATGCCATTAGTGTGCACGCTGCCACACAGGAATCGGTGACACAAAGGCACATCCTTCCCCACCCTCCTGGAGCTTAGAAACTAACGGCTCTAATGAGAAATGAGGGCAGAGAGGAGAGAGATGAGGGCAGGCCCCCTCCATGCAGGCTGGTGCTGGTGTCAGAGGAGGCTGACCCACTTCTTGTGGTGGTGAGGGGCCTTGGCGGCCAGCCCACTGAAATGCCACTTAAACCAGCCGCTGCTGCCTGCACGAGGGTCTCCTTTGTCCAAACCCCTCACTTGGTGCTCTTGGAGACAGTCCTGTCGCCCTGGCAGCACAGTTCTTCTCTCTGCCTCGCTTCCCCTTCTCCCCCAGGGTCCCCAGGGTCCCTTCACCCTGTGGGTTCTCCAGGGCCTGGACTCCCCTGCCTTCAGCAGCCTTCTCTGGAGAGACAGGCAGGACCACGCGAGGGAGGGTGCTCAGGTGGCCATGCAACGCGCCGAGTCTCTCTTCCCAGCTTTTTGATTGTGCCGTGAGTTATTTAGCCAACAGTAGATGTTTATGTATTTTTTAGAGTTCATATTTATTAACAGGCGGGGAAGGAGGAGACCGGGAGATTTATACGGAAAGCATGGTGAGTTAAAAGGGACAATTAGAGGAGCAGAAAGATACTGAGCATAGAATTGTAAAGGATATTTTAACGCACAATCAAAGGTTCTTGAGATATTTTCCAAGTAGACAGAAGGTAAAAGAAAATTGGCCCATTACGAGCTGATAGTGGGGGATTGGTGACAGGGGATGGAGTCGTGGCTGACGGCTGAACTCCTGCTTAGAAGAAAGTGAAGCTAGAGGGCAAGGCAGGGAGCTGAACCGGGTCAGGAGCCTTCAGAACGGGGCTGGAAGGGACTCCATCAAAGCGTGCACCCGCCCCTCCTCAAAGAAAGAACACCAGCTATGCGCGCTGGCCCAACCTGTAATCCCAGCACTTTGGGAGGCCGAGGCAAGTGGATCCCCTGAGGTCAGGAGTTTGAGACCAGCCTGGCCAAGGTAGCAAAACCCCATATCTACTAAAAATACAAAACTTAGCCATGCATGGTGGTAGGTGCCTGTAATCCCAGGTTCTTGGGAGGCTGAGGCAGGAGAATTGCTTGAACCTGGGAGGTGGAGGTTGCAGTGAGCTGAGATCACGCCACTGCACTCCAGCCTGGGCGACAGAGCAAGACTCTGTCTCAAAAAATAAATAAATGAAAAATAAAACAATTAACCTGGTGTGGTGGTGTGTCCCTGTAGTCCCAGCTACTCAGGAGGCTGAGGCAGGAGGATTGTTTGAGCCTCAGGAGGCTGAGGCTGCAGTGAGCCATGATCATGCCGCTGCACTCCAGCCTGGGTGACAGCGTGAGATCCTGTCTCAAAAACGAAACAAAAACAGACAACAAATAAACCCAGAGAAAGACTGCCTCCTTAGGTCAGCATAGAGTAGGGCCTGGAGGAGCTGGGTCCCTGGCAGAGAGGTGGGTCTGCTCAGGGGCTGGTGGGGCCTGCCTGGGAAGCCGGCGTGCATGTAAAGGGGAATTTGCTGAGCGCTCGGTGGCTCCAGGGAGCCTCCCCAGCAAACTCCTTCTCTCTGACCCCAGTCCCTGCAGCTTGCCCTCCACGAGGCTTCCCAGGCTCTCCTGCTTCCCCAAACCTGCTCACAGGCCTTCCTGGGGCCCATTCACCACGGTGCTGGTGATTAGTTGGGTGATGAGTAAACATTTGCTAAATGGGATTCTTGGCTCTTGGCGTGAACAGCCCCAGAAGGAGAAGAGAGGGTGTGGCTGGTGGGAGGGGCTCTGGGGCTGGTCGATGGTCAGAGCCGGCACAGGCAGAAGCACGGGCAGGGGGTGCTGCTCCGAAGCCAGGAGGGGCTGAGGGCGGCCGGCGGCGGGGGAAGCAGGGAGCGCGGCCATGGAACATTTCCCGAGCTTGGAAGCAGCAGGTGTCTGGGAATGGGCCTGTGGCCCAGGCAGACTTCCAGCGAGCGCTCCAGCTTGCTGGCAGGAGGGGAGGATCTGGCTGAGCCCAGGAGGCAAGTTTCCACCATGAAACCCACTGCTGAGGAACCGCGGCAAGGGTGCCACGGTGGGAAACCACGTGCCCATAGACAGGCTGGGGGGACGGGCGGGAGGATGACCCCAGGTCGGGGGGACCACACAGCCCCTCCACTTCCACGGCGGAGTGGAGTCCCTGAGCAGGATCCCCTGGGCCGCCCCGTCCTGGGCGCGTCTCCCACACCCTCAAGCCTGGAGTGGTTTTGGATACCCCAGGCACGGTACTGTGACCACCTCCGGCCCCACTCCCCACACTCTTCTCTGGACAGCTCCTCATCCTCCAAGACTCACTGGAGTGTCACCTCCGCCTGGAAACCCCCTCTGACTGCCCCCACCCAGCTGAGCTCCTCATTTTGGAGGCCGAGGGGTGCGAACGCGAGCACCAACTCCGTACTGGTTGCAAATACTTGTTTCCTCATCTGGGCTCTGAGCTCCTTGCCCTGAGCCACGTCTTCTCACGTTACGTCCCCAGAGCCTGGCCAGTGGATGGACGCGGAAGCCCTGATCATCCCTTGTTGAATGAACCACGCAGAGCCAGCCAAGCTCTGGGGTCGGCGGGGAGCTTGTGTGAAAGGCCTTAGAGACCACCAGTGGCCACCCAGCCCCTCCGACAGGGGTGGCTCTGTCCGCGTCAGTCCACAGTGGAGGCCTGCGTGGCAGGAGGGCGGGGAGGGAGAAGAGATGGTTCCATCTGGGGGTCCAGGGGGTCCAGGGAAAGCGGTGGGGGAAGATGGCAGTGGAGGGGTGACCTCTGCCTCTGGGAAGACCACAGGAATCTGCATCTCCCTGCCCTGAACGAGACGCGGGGGGCTGGGGCTGGTGAATAGAGAAGCCTTTGCCTCACCCCTGATGTGTCCAGTTGCTCTGATGTTTGGGGCGATGGTGTCGTCGTAGCCGCGTAGCATGAGCTGCTGAGTGACAAGTGATGTCGCCTGCATCACAGCTGCCTTGATTCCCCCTACCTCTTAGAGGAGAAAGCTGCTAAAAATACCTGGTGTCCTGGGCCCCCACTGCCTTGCCTCTAATAACAGTCGGCAACCAGAGACTGTGCTGTGCTTGACAGAGGCGGATCACTTATAAAACATTAGCATTTCTCCTACTGACATTTCACTTCCATATTACAGGACTTCCTAAGTCTAAAAAAAAATTTAATAAAGTGCTTAGACTCTTGATTTTCCCACTGAGGGCCTTGCTGTCTGAAGTCGGAAATGAAATCAACAACGTAACAACATCCTTGGATTCTAAGGGACAGCCAGGCCCTGGTACCGGCCTGGGTCAGCGCCTGCGGGCCACAGGGGAGCAATTGCAGGCTGAGGATTCTTTGGTCTGCAGTCACTGGACTCCCTTTAGTGAACACCCCAAGCCTCATACTGAGGAGGATTTGTCTAGCCAGGCCTGAAAACACAGGTTTTCTCCCTCTATCCGGGGAACCCTCTCCTTTCTCTGAAGCCAGAGAGGCGTGCGCAGTCTCCAAGCCCTCCCGCAGCTGTCCAGGTGGGTCCCTGGCCTCCTGGAAAACCCCTGGGACCCCAGGAACTGACCGTTCCCTTACAGCCGCCCGTTCCCCTCAGCCACCCGCCCGGCCCCCTGAGAATCAATCACTCAGCAGTTGCTCCTGAGGCTCCTGGGAATAGGCCAGAAGGACCCAGGACCAGCCTCCTCCGGGGAGAGCCACGGCGACGGTGCCAACCCGGGGCAGCCAGAATGTGGAAATCATGTCCTGAGCGGGCGAGGGAAGTGCCACGAAATGGAGCAGTAGGGGTGTGCGTGCTCTCACGTGTCCCATGAGTCAGTGTGCCCCTGCCCCCTGTGGCTCCTCCCGCCAACAAATGTGCTGTGTTCCTAGAGCTGTGCCCGGCCAGGCTCGCCCACCCACAGAAGCCCAGGATCTGCCACCTGTCAGGAATGCGGGGTTAGGAAATGAAAAACAGGGTTCTTGTCCAAGATCGTTTATTGTTATTATTATTTTTCTCTCTTAATTGGATTCAGTGTTCCTGGCTCCTCACACACATCCTCTCTGGTGGGGGATTCAGGTTTGTGCAAAGCGCAAAGGAGCTTGTGCCCACCTGGGCCCCTGGCCAGCAGCATGGCTGGCTTTGATCAGAGCCCCTCTCCCCTGTCCGGGCTCACCTGCCCCAGTCCCTGCTCCTGACCCCTGAGTCCGGCCTCCTGAGCCTCTGCCTGCACCCTGAGCATCCCCAGGACGGCTGGGAGGGCCGGGTCTTCAGTGATGCAGAAGTGCCTGAGATGGTTCATGAAATGCCCTCGTCGTTCTCCTTCTGCTAAGGCCCCCCGACGCCTCCCTCCTGCTGTCCTACACAGGGCCCTTGCTGGGTCACCCACCAAAGAGCCTCAAGGTAGAATTCAGCAGCTGAGCCATGCGGGAGACCTGGGCTCAAGCCCAGAGTCTCCTTGGCCCGTCCAGACCATCACTGACCACACGCGAGGCTGACGACACGGTCCAGCCCTTTGGACTAACACTGCGGATGCTGCCTGGCCTGCTGGCTTCCAGACCCAAAGCCCCTTCCTTCCCCTTCTCCACCTCGCTCACCCTCAAGGCCTGGCTCCCTGACATACAACAAGCTGCTTCTCACTTCTCACCCTGAAGCCAACAGCTACGACAGCAGGGGTGACAGGGTGCTCCAGGGTGGCAGACAGGCTTGTGTTGCATATAAAAACAAGGTAATGCTGTAAATATCTAAGAATACTGGTCCCCCAAAGTGACTCTTGCTGCCTCCCCTTCCTCACCGTCCCTGCTGACACCTTGCCCCAGGTCCTTGGCAAGCCCAGGTTCCTTGGAGACTATCATTGCCAGGCTGGGATTCTAGACACAAATGCTATCACTTTGTTCTTGCTAGAAATCACCGATACAATCCTTAGTTCAGCAAATACAGTTCTCTGTATAGTTTATAAACATGAGAAGACGTACAGTTAGGTGACGGAGTGGGAGGGGACTGTGCATTTGTATATATATATATATTTATATGTAGAGTGTGAATATATATAAGTGGACGTAGTTATAAAACTGCACCTTCTGTGAGAACCTCATAGCCCGGGATGAAGTTCTAAATTTCAGCCTCTGATGATCTTTCCTTTGGTAATTGGTTCTTGGATCCCAGCAGTTGGGCCTGGGTCTGCCAGGGTTGCCTGAGACATTAGGAATGAGAGGCATTACCCCCGAGGGAGGGGCTGAAGGTGGAGTAGGGTAGAATTCAGGGCAGGGTGACTCAGTGGCCTCAGGCAAGAGCCAAGATGCCACCTGCTCATGTGTGCCCAGACTGCTGGCCGCCCAGCCTCGTGGGTGAGCCTCGTTTGTTCTCTGCGTCCTGCTTTCTCCAGGAACCACGGGGCCCTCCGGACCTCTCCGAACCATCGGGATTCCACAGAGCCCCGGTGCCGCCGTTGGGGGCAATTGTCCCACTGTTGCTAGTGGAGGGGGCACTTGGAGTGCCTTTTCCCACCTTGCCGGAGTGGACACTGTCCATGGGTGCTCTGCGGGGCTGGCTGGGACAGCCGGCTGAGATGCGCCAACCCCTCCCGCCTAGGGCTGTACACTTTGGGTTTATAATCCACATGGCAGGGTCCAGGCATCCAGACAGCAGCCGAAGCCTCTACCAGCCTTTTCCTGAAACCCAGCAGGTCTTCCACTGGTTAATAAAAGAAGAAAATTAATTCTGTTCCTTGGTGGACATGTGGCAGTGCTGGGTGCTGACGCCCTGGGTCCTCAGCGGAGAGAGACCGCCAGCCCCAGTGTCCAGGCCAGGAGGGAGGCCCCTAGGGAACTGGCCGAGGAGGCCTGCTGCACCCCGCTGGGGGCACGGATGGGGGTCCTGCGGGCACACTTGCCCTTCCTCTTGGGCCGGGCCGTGGGCATGATGTCGAAACTGAACTTGTGCTGGTAGTCAGGTGCATAGTCTGGCAGTTCGGGGGCCTGTTTCCCGGCGCCTGCCTTAGAGATCTGATTGCGGTTCCTGTGGCTGGTGCAGTTCTTGCCCGACTTCCTGTGGCCCGACCGGGAGCCGGGTGGATGGCCATGCGGGTGGCCCTTGCTCCTGGTGGGGCCGTGGGGTGAGTGGTGCTCCTTGCGGGCAGCCCTGTCGGTGGTGGTGAGCGTGTGTGACTTGATCTGGTGGGGGGACGCTGGTCCCGTGCAGTTCCGGAAGTCCTCAGCCCTCAGCAGCTTCAGGTCCTGGCCGTGCCGCAGCCCGGGGGACACGCAGGGGACAGCGGAGCTGGAGCCTCGGAACCTCTGCAGCCATTCCCACAGGGAGCGGGCACGGCAGCCGCAGTCCCAGGGGTTGCCATTGAGCCGGAGAAACTCCAGGGCCCCCAGCGGGGCCAGGCACTCGCCCTGCAGCTCCGAGAGGCTGTTGTTGAAGAGGAAGAGGGTGGTCAGCCTGCGGAGGTCGTGGAACGCCTTGTGGTGGACCCACTGCAGCTGGTTCTCATGCAGCAGCAGACGGTCCAGGTTCACCAGGCCCCGGAAGGTGCCCGGGCCCAGGCTCCACAGCTTGTTGCCGTGGAGAAACAGGTGGCTGAGGTTGACCAGGTCCACGAAGATGTCGTCCTGGAGGTACTCGATGTGGTTGTCCTGCAGGTAGAGGTACTGCAGGCTGTGCAGGCCGCCAAAGATGCCGGCCGGTAGGGCGCTGAGCCCACACTTGTAGAGGTAGAGGGCGTGAAGCTTCACCAGGCCCTGGAAGGTCTCGGGCGCCAGCGTCCGCAGCTGCCGGTTGTCGCCGAGGTCCAGCTCCTCCAGGTGCACGAAGCCCTCGAAGGTGCTGGGGTGGATGTAGGTGATGTTGTTCGAGTAGATCCACAGGGTGACCATGGCGGGGCTGAAGTGGCCGGGCTGGAGGAGGCCAATGCGGTTGTTCTGCAGGAAGACACGCTCGCTGTCCACGGGGATGCCCTCCGGGATGGCCGCAAAGTTGTGCGCCTGGCAGCTGACCGTCATGGGCGCCGGGTAGCACACGCAGTCCCGTGGGCAGCCGCCACCCAGGGGCAGCCCCGCAGCTACCAGCAGCAGCAGCAATTCCACACAGCACCCTGGCAGGGAGAGAGAGTACAGCCAGGTCAGGGGCCGTGCAGGTGAGGACGGGCACCGCACCCTCCGGCGCCTGCCGGGACCGCATCCTCGTCTTGGCTGAGCTCAGTGAGAGCCTCGCCTCTGGCTGGAGTAAGGCCAGGGTCAAGGCCCAAGCCTGGAACCCGTTGGGGACGAGAGGCCCCCCCTCCTTGGTGACCCATTTCTGCTGGGCTTGGAGGTGAGTCTGGGGTAAAGGCCCCGATCACCCCCACACCTCCTTAGTTCCACACCACAGCTGCTGAGCCCCAGCCCCACCCGCTGCAGCTCCTCCAGGCACGCTGCTGGGGTGGAGGCCATGACCCGGGGACACAGCCGTCAGCCTCCTGCTCTCCTCCTAGCCCTGCCACTGGTGGTTGTCATCTGCACTCACAGATACTGGGAGGGGCTCTTGCGCTAACGTAGTAAATATCTCATGTAGAGTCCTGAGGAATCTCTATTTATTTATTTTTATATTTAATTTCATTTAATTAATTTATTTTTTATTTATTTATTTTTTTTGCAGGGGGGATGGAGTCTCACTCTGTCGCCCAGGCTGGAGTGCAATGGTACAATCTCAGCTCACTGCAAGCTCCGCCTCCCAGGTTCACGCCATTCTCCTGCCTCAGCCTCCCGAGTAGCTGGGACTACAGGTGCGTGCCACCACGCCCAGATAGTTTTTGTATTTTTAGCAGAGACGGGGTTTCTCCATGTTGGGCAGGCTGGTCTCAAACTCCTGACCTCAGTGATCTGCCTTGGCCTCCCAAAGTGCTGGAATAACAGGTGTGAGCCACCGCGCCTGGCCAGGATCTCCTTATTTAAATCATTCCCAATCACAAGCAGAGCATGCATGTGTGGCACCAAGGTTCACCTCAAATAATGTCTCCTTTACAGTGTCTTCCACGCCCTCAAAACATAGAGGCAACACCCCTTCTAAGCCTCAGTTTCCTCATTTCTGAAACACAGACATGGCCGGGCATGGTGGCTCACGCTTGTAATCCGAAAAGTCGAGGCAGGTGGATCACCTGAGGTCAGGAGTTCGACGCCAGCCTGGCCAACATGGTGAAACCCCGTCTCTACTGAAAACACAAAAATTAGCCAGGTGGCAGGTGCCTGTCATCCCAGCTACTTAGGAGACTCAGTAGTACTCAGGAGGCTGAGGCAGGAGAATTGCTTGAACCGGGGAGGCGGAGGTTGCAGTGAGCTGAGATTGCACCACTACACTTCAGCCTGGGTGACAAAGTGAGACTCTGTCTCAAAAAAAAAATAAATAAATAAAATAAAATACAGACAATAGCAGTTCTGCCTGGCAGAGCTGAGAGGGCGTCCTGAGAGGGCACCTGTCTGTGAAGGCCTGGGGGTGGCACCAGCTGTCAGACGGAGGCTGCCCCAATCCCGGCCCGCCTTCTGGCCCCTCCCCTCTCCCACCTCACTCCAGCCCCTGGGCTGTGGCTGCAAAACCAGGCCTTGCCTCTAGACTGTCCAGAGCGTTTCCTCTGTAGCTTCCCTCTAATTGGGCATTAATTAGGCATTCGTTAATGGATCCTTAAAATAATTTATTTTCGGATGTGTCCAGCCTGTGGTCGGATAATAGCCCCGCGCTCATTATGGGAGCAGCCTCATTACGGACGATCGTCATTACCTACCTTTTTCCAGGGTCGCAGCTGCCCCAGGCGGCCAGGCAGGCGCGCCGAGGTGGGGGGGGGCCGGCTCCAGGCCTCCAGGCCCCACCCTGGAGGGCCAGGCAGCCATCTCCTCCCTATCCAGCTAGGCTCCGGCCCCTTTGCTTCTAGCTTTCCAGCCAGGCCTCGTGGGAGAACCAGGGCGCCCGGGGCAGCTGAGGCTCTGCTGCAGCTGTGCCCAGAGCTTGTGGGATGAAAGAACCAACCCTCTGGTCACTCTCGGGCCAGCCCTGCTCCCGGCCTCGTGCCGCTGCCTGCCCAGGCTCCCGGCCCAGCAGGCCTCACTGCCACTGTCACCCCCTCGTTCCTGGCAGAAACAGCGTCGTAAATAAGTGACAGCTCCCAGCTGTTGGGAGTTATGGGCTCCCAGAGAGTGGCAGCTGCTTCCCGTCCCCTGTAATCACCCGGCTTCGACTGAACATTTCCAACACATAAAAATCATCGTACATAATTTGTGTTTTTTTTGCATAATTGGGCTCGGTTGCGATTTCAGAGGAGTTATGACTTCAGTGGTGGTGGTGGCACAGCTTCAAGGACCCTTTCTGGGCCAAGCCGTGCTCTCTGTGGCCTCTGCAGTGACTTCAGTCCCGCCCAGTGCACAGCCCGCAGGCTGGGCCGAGGCTGCCGCTGTTCCCCCTCCTACCTCAGTTTCCCCTCCTGCCACGCATAGATGATGGTAGTGTCCACCGTCCCCACTTGGAGGCTCAGATCTGGCCTCCAGCCCCTGCTGCCTGCCTCCACCTGCCCAAGGAGCCCCAGCCCTGCAGGGGGAGGCACAGGTGTGAGCGGGGAGGAACCTGGGCTCCAAACCCCACCTGACTTTTGGGAAACCTGCCCACTGCCTGAAACCTCCACACCCAGGGCTGAAAGGGGGCCCCAACTCACACCAGCTGCACCTGCCACGGAGCCAACATTCCGTGTCTCTCTCAGCTCACACTCCTCACCCCTGCTCGGGCTGCCACCCTCCAGGAAGGCCGCACCTGCAGGAAGCTTCCTCCCCCAGGGAGTGGCCCCGCTATGCCACCCTGAAGGAACCAGGGTGCCCCTCCTAGCTCAAGGGTGTTCGTGGTGTTCACTGCGCCTCATCCCACATCTCAGGCTTTTGGGGACGGGGCCACAACCAGGCCATTCTGCAAAGACAAAGCCATTTCCATCCCTCAGGCTGCAGCAAGAGCGGCCTCGCGGCAGGGGGACGGGGGTGATATGTGTCCGGCTCAGCGCTAATCCCACTCGACATTTGCACAGCTTACTGGAGTTTACAAAGTGCTTCTGCTCACGCTCCCCTGAGCCTCAGAACTGCCCTGTGTGCTGGGCGTGGGGAGCCCTCCTCCACCCGCTGTGTGGCTATCTCTGTAAGGCCCAGGATGCAGTTCTCTGAAATGACACCCGGAGAAGCTAATAGGGGTCCCACGGAGAGACATTTCCCCATCAGACACAAAGCAGGTGCCTCCAAGGGATATTGGGGAACAGGGGAAATCAGGCAAGGACCCCAGTTTAGGCGAAAAAGCCAAATGGCCCCCAAATCCAGGTGTGGGCTTGGTATGTGGCTTGTGGGTGTGCCGTGGGTGGGAGGGGTCAGAAAGCAGGGGTGGGGTGAAGACCCAGGGCAGGAACCCTCCTGCCCCTCCTCTGAGAGGGCTCCGGGCTTGGCACAGGGCCTGGCTCACATTCCCTGTCTCAAGGAAGAACAAGCCATTGGATCAGGGGCCTGGAGGTGGGGGCTGGGCAATAAGCCACAGGCACCAGTGTGGGCAGCCCCTCGGGTCCCAGTGCCTGAGGACGGTGGAGGGCCCCTCGGGGGCCAGGCCGGGGATCCAAGCCCCAGGGAGCGCTCACCAACCTTCAGCACTGCTCAGATGCAGGGGACCCATGCCAGGGAAGCTGTCCTTCCAGGCACCCCTGCCCCTCCTCCTGGGGAATGGGGATGTCTCGGCTGAGTGCTTCTGCACCCTGGAAGTTGGTCCCATCTCCAAGACCTGGACCAGCTGCCCCAGCCAGCTCCGCTGCCTCCAGTACCCCTGCCAGAGCCAGTGGGTGCCCCAGTCTTGGACTGTTCCCCGTGCTGGGTTATCTCCCAGGGAGGCTGGCACAGCATTGCCACGGCTCCTCCCGTGCCCCTCCATGCAGCCCTTGGGAGCCCCGACCCACTGATTGCCTGATTAATGTACTAACAATGAGGCCCGCGCCTTTGTGGTGCATTTTAAGATTGCAAATTAGCAGGGATCAGAGTCTCTGTGAAGGAGCCCTGCACCCCCTCCCACCAGCCTCCTCCTCCCCTCCCGGGTGGGGCAGGGGTGGCTCTGCCCGAGGGGACTGAGGAGAGCAAGGCTGGGCCTCCCCCACGCTTTCCCTGGGGTGTCCCCCTGCTCCTCCTCTCCTCCAGGGGCACGCACTCGGCTGACTGCTCGGCTACCCCCGAACCTCCCGGCCTCCCACACGCCTGAGCTCCCCCGCATCTCCACAACCTCATTCATTCCCTTCTCCATTCAACACTTGCTGCCTGAGCTCCGGCATGTGGGGGGTGCCCGTGGGGAGGGCCCAGAATGAGCGGGTGGGGGGACATGGGGCATCCTCATGGCTCACTAGCAGATGGGGGTTCCTGAGACCAGGCAGTCTGGCCAGGTGCTGGGGCCTGGAGTAGGCCCCTGGAGGTGTGTGTGGGAAGCGGGGGTGCTCAGGGAAGACCCCTGCCATCTCTGTGCCACCTGCCAACATTGTTCCGTCACCTGCTGGAGTATGAATCTGGGAACCAGGGAGAAGGGTCCCTGCCTCACAGTGTTGCCTTAGGATTCCAGCCAGCACAGAGGAGGCCAGGAGAGCTGGTATTGTGTCGAGGTCCTCCTTTCTGCAAAATCCCAAGTCCCTGCTTGCTGGGCAGGGAGCATGGGGGCAGCTCAGGTGGGTGGCCTGAGCGTGGGAAGGCACCCTGCCCAGTCCGCTCCGCAGCCCCAGATGTGCCTATGCGTGGTCCTGCGAGGCCAGACCTGCCGGAATGGGCGGGAAAGGAAAGGCAATGGCCACATCCCATGCGGAGGCCTGTAGTGGGAAAGGGGCGACGTGCCCCTTCCTACCCTGGCTCTGCCTCTCAGGCTGTAAGTACACAGAGCTTCCAAGGAGGCTGTAACCTCAGCTCAGCTGGGCTGGGGGAACCCAGAGCCAGGATGGCCAGAGATCTCCCCACTGGTACCAGCCCAGAAGGGCCCTTGCCCCAGGCCCAGGCCAGCCGCCCATCGTGGAGGGCGCTCTGCAGCCCCTGGAAGGAGGGTGCTCTGCAGCCCCTGGAAGCAGGACAGGACCAACCAAGGCGGACCCAGACCTAACTGTGTACCAGAGTCCTCAGGACAGTCCCTGGGAGCGGCGCCCGTACACAAAGGAGGAAACGAGGTCTGCCGGGGGAAGGCACCGGCCACGGCACACGGCTGGCGACAGGGCAGCGAGCAGGCCTCACCCAGCTGACTGCGGAGTCCAGGGCTCTGCCCGCAGATCCACCCTGCACGGGGTGGGCAGAGCATCCTCCACGAAGGGCTGGTTGGCCCTCACAGGCCCCAAAGCCTCGAGCTGCTCACCCCAACCTGCCAGCACCAAAGGGACTGCCCCTCCCTGTGCCTGAGCCGGGGTGGTCCCATGGGCTGGCATCTCCGCAGCCCCCTGGGCAGCGCCGTGGGGCTCTCTCAGTCTTTGAGACAGGTCAGATCCCTCTGGCTCTGCAGCTCTCCCTCCCTCCCCTTCCCCGCTTTCCCAACCCTGGCAGATGCTCCTCTCTACGTCAATCGATGCTAACCCAATGCTCTCTGCTGGTCAGATAACAGCCTCAGGCTAGGCCGGCTGCACTTGGGGCTGCTGGCGTCTTAGGCTACTTGGCACTGTCCCTCCATGCTGCACCCAAGCGCAGGCCACTTCCTGGTGGGCCCATCACCCCCTCCCCAGCCCCGCCTGGAGCCTGGCTCAGCCCTGGAGACATGGAAGCCAGCCAGCGCACAGCTGGGCTTCCCTCGTCCTGTTGCTGGACGTGGGGCGTGGGGTGTGCAGGATGGGCAGGGAGGGCTCTTTGTCCATGGCATAGGGCATTGGAAAGAGCACAAGCTTTGGAGCCAGAGAGACCTGACTTTGAATCCTAGCTCCCCCGTTGTTTTTTTTTTTTTTAAGACACGGTCTTGCTCTGTCACCCAGGCAGGAGTGCAGTGGCACAATCATAGCTAACTGCAACCTCAACCTCCCTGGCTCAGGAGATCCTCCCACCTCAGTCTCCCGGACAGCTTGGAATATAGGCCCACACCACCACGCCCAGTGAATTTTTTATTTTTAGTAGCGATGGAGTCTCACTATGTTCCCCAGGCTGGTCTTGAACTCCTGGGCTCAGCCTCCCAAAGTGTTGGGATTACAGGCGTGACCTCAACTTAACTAGTGTGTCCCCACGCTTGTGTGAGCCTCATCTTCCTCACCTGCAAAATGGGGCAGTCATTTAAAGCTCCAGCGTGGCCCTCTCGTCTGCGGACGTCGGCCTCCCCCACATCTCCATCTGCCACACGAAAGCCTCCCAAACTGAGCTCTGCTCTTCCCCCACAAGCCTCCTCCACTCGCATATAATCCATCTCAGTCAGAGGCAGCTCCTTCGTTTCAGCTTCTGCGGCCAAACACCTCAGAAATATTTTAGACCGAGTCTCGCTCTGTCGCCCAGGCTGGAATGCAGGGGTGCGATCTCGGCTCACTGCAACCTCCACCTCCCGGGTTCAAGCGATTTTTGTATTTTTAGTAGAGATGGTGTTTCGTCATGTTGGCCAGGCTGGTCTCGAAC